TACATATTTTGTGCAGTCTTTTAAACTAAAAAGCATTTAGATGGTCCAGTTTGGGGGAGGCTGTAAAATGGAGACAGGATGGTTTAGTTTCTTTCTGGTGTTGCTGGGATTTCAGGAAAGGTTTGATATATCCAAGTTCAAGTCTGCTTGTGTCAAGTTAGTGAAGAAAAGGAACACATCCTTTTGCTTTTCTTCCTTTTATGCACTTACACAGGCAAATGTGAGTGCATGTGAAATGCAGCCACGTTCTGCATGAGAGATGAGAAGCTGTTCTCAGTGAGTGTATCATAGCTGAGTCAGCTGGGCCCCCTGCTGCGCTCGCTTTCCTTGGTTTTAAAGGTCTATGTCCTAAAGTACCTAGTTCTGTTAAATATTAGTAAGCCAGTACAGTGAATTTTGATTACCAAAGTTGACTGAAGATGTATTGTCTGCCTTGTGTGTGGCGTCTGGTAAACAGCTGGTTGCTGTGGAAACTGCCTCAAAAAGGTAGAGGGTCCTTGGTGTACCACAAATTCTGTAAACAAAGCCTGATAATAGCTCATTCTGACATAAGTCTTCGAAGGATGAAAGAGGAGGAAGAGATTCAGACAGCTTTTTCCTTTTGTAAACTCACTGCTTTATAGGGGAAAAAATAGCTAGAAATAGTCTGTCTCGTACAGAATGAAAAGGTTGGGGATTAAGGCAGTGCATTAGTGAACCAGCTGTACGAATGTGAAACAGAAAGTTCTCAAGCTTCAGCCATTATGGGTTTGTTTGGTTAGGTCTAATTTTGGAAGTCATTATAGCAAAGGTAAATGACTTGTACAGGAGACTACTGTAAACAAAAGACTCGATACATTTACTTTGGCAGGAGCCCTGAGAAGACTCGGTCCTTTCACTGCCTCTTTTATGCAGCCTTCTGTAATACTCACTGCCCGCCTCTGTGTGCAAGCAGCTCTCATTTCCCTTCCTCCCTCTCTGACGGCTTCTTTCCTCTTACAGGTAGGATTTAGGGGTGGCAGCACCTGCCATTGAATTGCTGGTGTGGAGCTGTAGAATACCTTTATTTTTATAGCAGCTGTCCCTTGACTTCTAAAGGCACTGTTTTGTGCTCAAGTAAGAATCCGTTTACTCTCTCTGGGTTTATACTGGAGTACAACCTATTTTCAAATGCTTTACTTTTTAATTGTGGTTCCCCTTTGGTTCCTTTCGTGTTTTTTCTTTTATCATTTCATAGTTTTATACCTACAGGTTCTGAGCATACTGATGCTTTGCTGAATTTATAGTTTTTCAGTGAAGAGTAAACCATGAGAATTGTAATTCCCTTTCCAGGTCTCTACCCATGTAGCTCATTCAAGGCTCTACCCATTCCACACCTACTTACTCACACTTTTGTGGGTGGGGAGGCAACTTCTAGAATCATATAATCATAGAATTAGGGTTGGAAAGGACATTAAGATCATCTAGTTCCAATCCCCCTGCCATGGGCAGGGACACCACACACTGAACTGAAGCACAAAATCAGACTCTACAACTCAAAGAGAGTTATAAAGCAGGTATATTGACAGCCAGCAATGCATCCAGCCTGGCCTTGAGCACTGCCGTGGTGACAGTGTCCATGCAGAGTCTGCTTCTTCCCTTTAACAGAGCTCCTCATGAGCATATCATATGGGTGTAGGATAGCTTCCCTTGACTTCTAACGCTGGGAAGATGGAGTAGAGGTGCAGAGTCAGTATCATCTCCTTGCTGCTCTCGCTTGCTGGCTCTATTCTGCACTCCCTGTCTGTTGGGTGACCTGGGAGACTCTCCTTCACCCATCTCATGGGTGAATGCTGACTGCTGTCACTTCCCAGGTTCCCAGAAAGTGCTTTCAGTCAAGGAATAGTTGTTCAGGTTCACTTTGACTCCTAAACCAGGTGGGGCACACTCTACTGTTAATTCAGTATTTTTAAATACAAGATAATTATGCTGCATCACAAGAAACCCATCTCTGCACGTTCTCACACGCTTTATGCCCATGGGGGATAGCAATGCTGCTGGTCATTCTGATACATAACTAGCATCAAAGCAACCTATAGGGTCATTTTCTACTGCTGCTTTAGAAGAGAGGATTATCTTTATCTCTGAAATTGCTCCCTTAATGCTCATTAACTAGAAATACAGTAATCAAGAAGCTGGTATGAAAAGATTTTGTCTAATAGTAGCCCTGATCTCTAAAATGGAGTTTAACCACATAATAATTACGCACTAAAATGTTTGACCAGTCTGACTGATATAAACAAACCAACCATGGAACTGAGTGCCTGGAAAGAGGTTTTAGTTCAGATGAATTTCATCTCACTCTGTATACAACATAGCAGGTCAGGCGACTGATTCTGAAGAAAAAGATGTGGTTTTAACCGCATGAACTCTTCTGCACCTTCCACCTGCAGGGTCTCTGAATGTCAGAACCAGACAGCTTTGTTTTACTGGTATTATTCTCCAATGTCTTAAAAAGCCAGAAAAGTAATACAAACGTTCTCTTAAAGAGACACATCCTGCCCTCGACTTACTGGAGGTGCAAAAGGTGCACATTTTGAGAAAGCTAACACAACGTTCTGATTTTACATTAAGAATTAATAAAATATAGACATCTTTTTTCCTGTGAGGAGAGACTTCCTTCTGTATAATCTAAATGGTGAGGTTTGGTTACTGCCTCCAGTATGAGAATATAAACCCAAGGTCAAGTGCAAAAGTTTTGGCTATCCATACTTGTTTTAAATCTCCAGTATGAGATCCAGCCTGGCATTTCAGAGGTGGCAGAGTGGCTTTAGATAGGTTAGAACACCAAGGCGTTGTGTGAAAGTGCTCCATACACAGCAATAGTCAGGAAGTGGGCACCTTCCTTGAAGTGAGGAGCCAACATCATTTATAGCACAAAGACCTAAGTGATATGTACAATTGATCCATTTTCCATCTGTAAAATTAATATCATAACCTTCTTTACCTCTGACTGTAAGGTAGTATAACTATTTCTAGAAGATTATACTCACAGGCATTAGTGTATTCCTGATATAATATGTTCTTTTTCTTAATTAATCTTTGTTCTGGAGAATATTTTACTTCCCTACACATCAGAACGTGCTTTAGATGTACCATTCTCAATAGAATTAACTGTGAATAAAAGCTTGTTTTCTTTTCAAAAGGAGTTTTGTCATCTCTGCCCAGAAGATTTGGTGTACTTACTAAACGCAGACACGTGCTAGAAGCCATGGTATTGATGGGGAGGTGTGTGGTGCCTTTCCCTGCCTCTCGCCCACCAAATCCTTACAAAACCAGGGAAGTGTGTGTGGCTCCAGGAGCTGTCAGTCTATGGTTGTACTCAGCAGTCAGAGAGGAGGCTGTTGAGGGGGTGTCCTTAAATTCTGAAAGTCTAATGAATCTAGATTTGTTCTTCTAAGCTCTGAGCAATCTCTATCACACTGATTTAATTAGTGAAAAACTCTTTTTGCAAGACAAAACTTAATGGCACATATGTTTATGATAAGTTTGTTTCTGATTTTTAATTTATTTCTGGTATTATTAAATATATATAATAATATATAATATTGTATTTATTAAATTCATTGTGGTATGTAAATACTTGTGATATTTCACAGTATCACAGTATCACAGTAGGTTAGAGATTGGAAGGGACCTCAAAAGATCATCTAGTCCAATCCCCCTGCCGGAGCAGGAACACCTAATATCCAGGAACGTGCAGGGGGTTTGATGTCTCCAAGGAATTCCACAACCCCTGGGCAGCCTGTCCAGTGTTCGTCACCCTCACTGAGAAGAAGTTTCTTCTCAGGTTTAGTGGAACCTCTTGTGCTCCAATTTGTATCCATTACCCCTTGTCCTTCATTGTTTGCCACTGAGAAGCCTGGCTCATCCTCGTGACACTCCCCTTTATATATTTATATACACTAATAAGGTCACCCCTCAATCTCCTCTTCTCCAAACTGTAGAGACCCAGCTCCCTCAGTCTTTCCTCATAAGGGAGATGCTCCACTCCCTTAATCATCTTAGTTGCCCTGAAATAAAAAAAAATAATATTTAAATGTATTTAAGTTTAAAGTTAATGTATTTATGGTATTTAAATTCATTTATGTTAAAAATTATCTATGGTACATTATGTCTCATCCCTGGCAGTGTTCCAGGCCAGGTTGGACAGGGCTTGGAGCAAGCTGCTCTAGTGGAAGGTGTCCCTGCCCCTGGCAGGGGGTTGGAACTGGATGAGCTTTAAGCTCCCTTCCAACCCAAACATTTCTAGGATTCTGTGATGCTATGGTAGCAAAGACTAATGCAGGTGGGACTTTGCACTAGGTGAAAGGACTGAGGGCTGAGGGTTGCACTGCTTGTGGTCCGGGTGACCATAACGTTCTTGATACTTCCTAAGGCCAGTGAAGGTTCAGAAAGAGATTATTTAAATCTGTGAGGAAATACAGCTGCAATTTACTGCTTAAGGCAGTTTCTCCTTTAGAGTTTCTGTAACTATAGACACCTTACTCCTAGTAGAAACTGCTGGAAAGGACGGAAATGGAAAAAAAGATGGCCCTTGCCTGGTGCAACAGGTGCAGATTCAGTCGTGGGCATGAATCTCTGAGCTGAGTCTCATTCACATGCCCAGAGAATGGCTGCAGGCATCTAGTCAGAGCTCCCACAAGAATGTGGGATTTCTGCATAAGTATTTCATATCTCTTGGAAAGATGCCAAGCAGAATTTAATTGCTTGTGGTGAAATCTTTGTGGCTAGATAGGACACTGAATACTTTTGAACTTTTAAATTGCTGTGGGACAGCCTGAGCTAGCATGGTTGTGTTTAATACACAGACAGATAATGAAAGATACTTCTTAATCAGATGGAGTTCTTTGGTGCACTATTTTGGTTTATATGCACCACACTGACTTGAGGGAGAGGAAGGGAGTTCTTGTAATAACATACACACTTGTTTTTCTGTTTAGTCAATTGACAGGTGTTTGGTTTTTCTTGTGTCTGCCCAGGAAACCACGTCTTGTCTCCTGGAGAGTCTGTTGGAAAAGGTCTAACACCAGAAGCTGCAAAAGATCTGGGTCTTCCTGAAGGGATTGCGGTAGCAGCATCTCTCATTGATGCCCATGCTGGAGGACTAGGTACTCAGTCACATATTTACTATTCTTGGAAACAGGAATGTCTTGAATTCACTTCAGAAAACCATTTTTCTCACAGCCTGTTTTGTATCCAGCAATCTGCTTTGATGCTATTCCTATGAAATAGCATAGCTAAAAACCCAAACCCATCACAATAACTGCTAATATTGAATATCTATTTACAGAGAGGGGCTATCACTGCTTATTTCTGTCCAGCTGGATTTCCATATTGTTTGATAACTTTTGCTATTTCCACTTTGAATTCCTGAACTGATACATGAGTGTGTTGGCATGTAAGCATGCTGAGAGTTTGCATCTTCTGTTGCTCAAAACTTTGGGATAGGGAATTAAAATAAAACCAGCAACATCCTAGGGGAGAAGTCTTGTTCATGGTTACTCTTCCTTCTTAGTTTTAGAAGTAATTTGTGCTTTGTCTAAATAATGCAATATAGACTTTTTCTATATATATGTTTTTGCTAGCACAATGGGATATGTAGCAAAACCACTGCTTTTGGTCTAGGAGGTTAGAATATGTCAGTGATGTGTATCTAAACTTACAAACCAGACTAGAGGGGAAACTGGCCTCTGCACAGCATTCCCCTTCTGCAGCTTTTATCATTCACTGTAGTGGGATGCTTGTTGCTTGGGTTTTCTCCTTTTCCAGCACTATATTCTGGTGTTCCCAGTTTCCGCTGTGTTGAAATGTATCAGGTGAGGCTCCATGGCTTCATTTGCTTATTATGTTTTTTGGCCTTACCTAAGTAAAGTCAATAACAAAGTGATTCAATGTAACTCTTTCAGCAGGAAATTGAGGTGGGTTTAGTTTGATAGTTCAGAAGAAAGTCTTACCTCAGAAAGTTTCAGTGTTACTGAAAAAGTGCTGTTCAGTGGAAATCTATTGCTCATCAGAGGATTTTTCTCTAGATCTAAATGAATATGATTGACTGCTGAAGCACCAGTTGTGCTTCAAGTACTTTTTTGTGGTTTAAATTTCATTTATTCTTCTAGAAGTTGTGGCCTGGAACTTACAGAATGTTTAAATCCATTTACGTTGCTTCTGATAACTGTTTTTGCTGAGGTTGTCATGTAGATTGCTTTTCTTGTTGCCTCAGAAGGATTATAGATCCAGCTGCCAAAATACGACTCAGTTTTAGTGCCATAGTTGTAGATGTGTTGTGTCCCTACTATTGTGACTTACTTAAAAATCTGTTTGTGTGAATTAGCATCCTAATTGCATAAAAATGTGTTTAAAACTGTGTGTGCTGGCAGTTTTGTGTTCTTGAAAAGGATGTAATAATAAGCTGAAATAATGAACTTGCTGAAAAACAGGATTGTCACAGAGCACATGAAAATGGCAGTGGAGGGTCCTTGTTTAATTGGAATCATTATGTGAGTACTGGATTCAGAGCACAGAAAGTTTGCCCAGTAAATTTTATGTGCTGAAATCTGAATTGAATTTAAAGAGGAGGAAGGAGCAACTGTCTGTTCATTTGCTATTGACTTACTTATATGAAGAAACTCTAACATTGGAAGAGTATAGCTACTGGCATCCATCAGAGTAAGATTTCAGTGGATAGACAGTCTGCTTATGCTAGTCCTGATTATCAGAATATGTTTTCCCAGATGGCAGTACAAACACCAGCAGCCTGCTGAAATCATTGCCAGGAGGAAAATAAAATGTATAGGTGGTGGTTGTTAAGAGAGGGAGAGATGTTATTACAGAAGGATGTCAGTAACCCAACAGGAGGATCTGCATGCTAATCACATGATAACTTGAGCCTGAGATAAAAGGAAGATCCTTCTTGAATCCGGGAAGGAAATAAATAGGTGGGGAAACTAGCAGAAAGCACACTAAGAAGGAAAAGAATCGGATAGCAAAAGGGACAGCAGGAACAGGAGAGTTCAAGAGTGCAAATGTATGTAAAGAAAAGGGATAGTGTGGCCACATCTCAGATACGGAATAGCTCTCCTTCATCCATAGCTGTTAATAACAAGAACCTCAACCTTTCTAAAGCCTACTTTAGCCTACATTGCGCAGAATACAGAGCTGAAAATCCTGAAGCAAAAGCAGAAAAGCAGAAAAACATACATCATAGAAGTGATACTGTTCTGATTCAAAGATGTTAAGAATGACAATGCACTAAAGCATATTAATCTTTTAATAATGATAAAAGGGGCACAGAAGAAAAGAGAGAAGAGATATTTGAAAGAATGAATTAAAATGTGAAAATACTGGAAATAAGTAACTCTTGTAAAACTTTTGTTTGAAAAGGTACTGATGTGTGTTTTAGTGCTTGCTATTTGATCTGTAGTGAAATATTGAGGGTTACAATTTGCTTGAAGGATATGACTTGCTTATTAGTAAGCACTAGATTAGTCTGTGGGACAACAACATCCAGTGGGTGTCATTATTCTTATTCTGGAGCACATTCTGCTGGTTGTTTAAAAATAGTCTGTAATGGCAGAGTAATGACAAGAGCTCTTTCCTATCCTGCAGGCTAAACCAAATGACATGATGGATGTCTTGTTTTCAGTGTTAATAACTTTTAATGCAGTGTTCAGATCTCCTTTTGGCTGGATAGAAAGTGTGTTTTTGCTGGACAGGTTACTTAAGTTTATGAAGGTTTCAAAGTTTTGAGTAAATTAAGGTAAAGATAAAGAATTACTTAATATGCATGTCTATGGAGGTCATCTATGACTCCTGAATCAGTCCATCTGACACCTATTATGGAAAAGCTGGGTAGCTGTGTCTCACATTTTGACCTAGTGTACCGACTTATAAAAGCCTACCGGTACAAATGTGAGTATGGGAGGGCAGTCATTTGGGACTGGCCTCATAAAAATCATGTTTACATTGCACCTTTTAAAAAGACATCAGCATTGTTTCAGCAAAAGTAGATTTATTGCATGGTATCTAAAATACTTTGACACTGTGGAAGAGATCCAAAAGGACACATGCTAAGCATCACATGCTTTCCTACACTTTGTCTGCTATACACACTTCTCGTTCTCAGTCTCTCTTGAGAATCTTCAGAATATTTTTAAGTCTGCCTCAGAGTATGAAAAATGCCAACTAAGTTAAAGGTGGAAGTGACTTATAACAGCAGTGATGTTATATAAGCTTTCATTGTTACGGGAATGTTCCAGACTTATTTAATGCCTCAATTTAGTTAATCTCAAGTAGGAAGACTCTAGCAACTCAAACTCTAAACTCTAGTAAAGCCACTGATCTCAAAAAGGCCCAGCATGCCTGTTTTGCAGAATGCATGTTTTCTTAGTGATTAAAAAATATCTAAACATGAAGCTCTTCAGTTCTGTATTGTTTATGAGAATACATTTGCAACATATGCTGCCAATTCAGTTGAATAGATTTGTTCCCTCTGAAGTGTGAACATTATTTTTAACTCCTTTAAGAAATTGTAATAGTGTTGCCTAGTACAGAAAATTGCTTTAAACAACCCTATCCAAAATTCCTAATATGAACGCATGCATGTCTCTGAGCAGCAAAAATTCAAGCATTAGCGGTAGAAGCCATACTTTTAGCTTTCCTTTCAAATAAACTCTGTCTATGAGAGCTGTGCCACTACATAGTTACAAGCCAGCTAGGACAAAGTACAGATTTTTGAAGACTGTAAAGCTTTAGCCTTTAATTTTCTGATTATTTAAATAACTTCCAGCCATGATGGAATTGCCATAATAACCATGGCAATCATGTTAAGACAAGCCCCAGCAGACCAATTTGATAGCAGAATCTTGCAATGGTGGCTTAAGCAAGAAGGTGTTAATGAAATGTAGCATGCTAACCAGAAGTAACACTTGGCATCTTTCGTGACGTCCAGCAAATGCTTTCATTTCTACTGCAGTGAGGAAGAAGATGTTTTTTTTTAGGAGGATTGGTAAACTGGTCACCAGATTTCTCATTGCAGATGCAAGGTGCAGTCTGGAGACCAGTTTGCCAGTTGAAAAGTAATACTCAAGAGAAAAAAAAGACAAACAAGAGAATATTACTTGTTGGGCTGCTGGATTTTGCTGGGTGCAGCACAACAGGATGCAAGAATGCAGCCTAGCAGAGGAGAAAGAGAGGGCTGCATTTCCACTTCAGCCTCCCCTTAAGCGAGTTAAGCAGGCTGTGATGCTTGCTGAAGCTTGGCTGTAGGTTTGCCCCATTCTGTAAGCAAGCTCCTGGCTCCTCTCTGGCATCTCCTGGGTATGTGCTTCTGCTGCAGGCTGAGTGCTTGCTAAGTTTGTTCTCTGTCCTGTCCTGTCCTGCACGCAGAACCTCCTCAGAGCCAAGCACAGGTCCTCTAAGGGAAGGAGTAATCTTCCTTTAGATGGTTCTGTCTGACAGGGATACAACAGCAGCAGCAAAGACAACAAAACTGGCAGCCTTCCAGTCTCCTGCCAATTTACCCCTTTCTCCAACTCATCCCCTGACATAACACATCATGCAGTATATGCGTTATAAACTGTGAACAAATAAAGATATCTGCAGCCTACCAAAATGCCTTTTATTGTGCAAGCTAGTGTATTACCAAAGAGAATAAAGATTAGATTGTAGTCAAAATACCATTCAAAAATTGTGATGATAAATGTGAGCATCAGCGGAATCATCTTGTGTCTGAAATAAAAATCCATTTCAGTCTGAATTCACAAAATAACTTTGTTTCTTGACTGAGTAGGCGCTGTTGGTTTGTGGCAGTGCTGCGAGATACGCGGCAGTTATTTGTGTGTGGAAAAAGCTGTTTTGTGAGGGTTGGCTTGCTCTTCTCTTAAATAGATTTTAAATTTTATTTTAATAGGAGTAATTGGAGCAGATGTGAAAGGACATAACCTGCCATGTGAGAACCAGCCAATTACATCCCGGGTTGCTATGATCTGTGGAACATCTTCATGCCACATGGGGGTAGGTTGTATGCATAGCTCTAATTTGTGCGGAATATGCTAGCTAATGTTTTTGAAGGGAAAAATGACCTTTGTCCTTCTCACCCTTATCCTTTTCCTTGATTTTTTTTTCTGGTAACTCTATCTTTACCTTTGGATATTAATTATATATTACCATGCATTTGCTATTAAGCAAGAACTTTAATAGTAGTAGAAATCAATACTGAAAAATGACATGGAAAGTAAAAACCACGATGCTGGAGTGGCTTAAAGAGCAGCCTGAAATCTGAGCCAAAGACTCTGAGCCTGAGTTATCTGTTACAAGCCTGTCACTAATGTGTTACAGAATAGTGTCTTTGGAGAAGGAGTGCATGTCTTCAGTCACAGCCCTTCTCCCCCACCTCTTCACTTAATCAGTGTAAATCCTTCTACCTCTGAAAGTTGCCATTATGTATAGAATTATGATATGTTTCATGACTAAAAAGAAAGAAAAATCCCAATAAGCCATTTTCACTTTGCTAATTTTTCTCAGTAAATTAATACAAAAGCTTTTCCTGAGATTGCAGTACAAATTTAGTGTCTGCTTTTGGAATTTATACCTTTTTCAAATGTATGAGTCTAAAAGCGTTCCCTTTAGATAAGTACCCTTTTCTGCTGCGTTTTTTGTTTAAAACTCATTTTGGTCTTAAATTTACACTGATTATAACTTGCATTTTTCCAAAATGAGCAAATGGCAATGGGAGTACTGGAGGTGTTAGAGAGGACTAACATGCTTCATGGAGAGAGCTCCAGTGGAGAAAAATAAAGGAAGCCGATAATAAAATGTCAGGCTTAACAGTAAGTTAAGTTGTCTTTGTAGTAACAGCATGAAAATGTGGTGATTTTGAGCATGAATAAATGGTGATCTTGTCACGCGGACTGTAGTTCAACAAAGCATTTTAGCATATGATTGAATTTAAAGATGTGAATAATCCCACTATTGTGAAGCAAAGCATTGAAAAAAATAAAACAGCTCACTTGGAGTATATTTTGGATTCCTTCCTAAACCAGAGTTTCGAACCTCAAACTCCACACTCTTAGCTTATTCTGTCTCTGAAAAATTACACCGGTACCTCTTTGTCTACCACAGGGCAGGTAGGGCACCATGCACTTACCAGCTCTGGGGGAAGAAGTCCCCCTTTGAGCCTGCCACTACTTTTATTATTTCCAGGTTTTTTGGTGGAGGTTTCTGCCCTCTCTGTGTGAACCCTTCCTAACCTATTTCATTTACTTGAGTTAGTTCAAATTCTTAAAATGAGTTAGGTAATAGACACATAACACTGGCCTGAAATGAGCTGAGGAGCTCGCAGTTTCCCCAAAAGGTAAGGGCAATGGTGAGCAGCTGGAAATGGGCCAGCTGGCTCTAACTCACTCCTTTAGTATAACTAGCCCTGGAGGAGGAGATGTGTGTGGCTATTTGTTCATTTTCAATATATGTATATTGGTAAGTTCCAGCGTAGACCCAGGTCACAATTATACTTTGTTTTGCTTCCCAAGCTAGAGCATGACTTATCAGTATAAACACTTTCACAGCACTTTTTTGTGCATGCCCTATAACCATGAGAGATGCGGCCCCATTAAACCTGCTAATGTAACAAAAGTGACCTGATAAAGTCCATGTTGATGTTAATCAATGTTCTGTTGTCATTAAAACAACCCCAAAGTCATACACAGACTGCACACCATAGACAAGGCAGAACCTTTTAAGGCTCCTAGTCACTTTAAGCAAACTTGGGTGTAGATGCTTGTGCAGGTTTAGGCTAGATTTAACTAGATGTGTATTTAAATGTAACTACTCAGCATTTTATAATCATTTCCTTAACTGCTTTCCTTCTCTCATCTGCAGAGAGGTATAACAATCTCTAGGCAGCAGACAATAAGCAAATTCTAAACTCCTCTGGATTTAATCTGTGAAAGGACTTTGCTTTACTGTTCTTTTATCTATTACCTGCATAGACTGTATAAAGTAAATGTTGAGCACACAGAGCAGTTGTATTTATGTTTTAATGAGACCTCTATGCAGCTGCATTTGGCTGAAATTAGCTGTTCCTTTTTTTAATTAGGGCTATAAAATGAAAGTATATTATACTTGTGTTTTGATAGAAATATATATTTTCTCTCTCCCTGTGCACCAAGGGACCCTCAGGGCTACAGAGATTAATCATCGAGTTTAATTTAATGCAGTGGGAGAGAGACCTGTGTGGTCAGGCGGGCATTAAAAAGTGCCTTTGATCTGCCTCAGGTGCACTGAGCCCCAGTGAGCCAGCAACAATAATACCTTTGTGAGATGATCAGAGAGGAGAGAGGGAGAAAATGGCCTGTGTGGAAACTCAAGGCCGTCCTTTGTTGTGGTTCTGGCAAAGGAAGGAGCCAACTGTCAGGAGAAATTCAGAAAACAGAAAGCAGGGTGAAAGTATGGTTGGATTTCTTTCAAGGGATCGTAACAGGAAACTGTTCAAAATCATCTGCTGTGCCTTGCTTTCCCTCCTCCCCCTCCTGTTCTGGGGAGGGCAGGGGTACTACTGCTGGTGTATGTGTGTTGGTACAGTATTTCCATTCTCTACACCAAATACTCCATGAGTCACAGGAGCAGGTATTGCTTGAACACAGCATTTACTTGAAGAGAAACTGCACCATGACCCAGTTTTTCATTACCTCAAGGACTCTAGAGATCTTGAACAAAAGACTTCGCTAATCGTGCCTTTGATATTTTAGAAAGTACAAATGTGGGACCTAATTTTACTCATGGCTATAATAGTTTAATTTGTGGTAGAACTACCATTTTTAAGTGAGGATACACTTTTGGAATTAACCACTGGCAGTTTGGGGTAATCAGACACACACAAAGCGTTTTGTGTTTCTGTTGAGATACTTGAATAGCTCATGAAAGAAGCAAGAAGCAGACTGTAATTAGGTTACTGATCCAAGTCCAGGTCTGAGCTAGTTGCAGAAAGTCACTGCCACCTCAGGGCTCATCCATTATCCATGAGCAAAAAGGAAAGAAAAGATGGTTTTCTGAATATTTTTGGACCGTTAATTCATTTTACATGATTCTCTGCTGCCTCCTTTGCCCTAGAAAAGTCATCAGCAGAATCTGCATTTGCCATGGCAAATAACCTGTCCTTTTACTTGCCAAAGGTTGTCTCTCAGTTTAGGGCCGGGATTCACTGGCTGCAGGTTTGATCTCTCTCTGCAGCATAGGTATTCCTTTCAAGTGATGGATACTCAGTGGCTGACTTTCCTGAGTGGGCTGCTGCATGTCACTATGCTTTGCAGACAGGGGCTCTAAGCTCCAGCACCCACATTCAGTTTTGGAACTTTTAGGAGACTTTCCTTGTGTAGCCATGGAGACTACACAAAATGTGTGAGCAGTTTTTCACAGTAAAATAGCAGCAGGTTTGAAGCATTGAAATAAGAGCTTGCATGTTGTTCCTAACGAGTAGTTTGCATGGGTCTAACAGACATGCTCTAACTTCTGGGAATAAGGTAATTGGTTTCACTAAAAGCCTGACTTCCTGTCAATATCTTATGGGGTTTATGGGATATTTGAAAGGTTTCAAAAATCCTTTATTTTCTCCTGAAACCTTTATGTGATTTAGGAGATATAGGTAGATTCTGCACTATGTTGTCTCAGTCCTGAACACAAGCATGCTTGCCCTTATGCAGATGTATAAAACCACCAAGAATTGAGTTTACTCTTGGCTGCCAGTTAGCAATCAACAAAAAAGTAATATGAGGAAGCAGTGTGGCAGGGGAGTTGGACACAGACATTCCCTAGTGTTCTTTGGAGCAAGTGATCTAGCAGTACTGCTGCTGCTTTCTGGTTTTAAACTGAAAGAGGGTAGATACAGACTAGCTTATAAATATATGAAGGCACTTTTTTACAATGATGGTGCTGAGGCGCTGGCACAGGGTGCCCTGAGGAGCTGTGGCTGCCGCATCCCTGGCAGTGTTAGGTTGGATGGGGCTTGGAGCAACCTGGTCTAGTGGAAGGTGACAGTGGGCTGGAACTGGGTGAGCTTTCCAGGTCCCTTCCAACCCAAACCATTCTGTGATCCTGTGATTCTGTTCTATAGGACATGGGAAATCTTATAGTATGGGAAATCTTGCAGTTTCCCATACCTGATATCAGCATAGCACTCCTCTTGTGGGCACCAAACTTGCAAAATAAAACATCCTTTTTCCTCAAAGTAGAAGTATCTACAGGTCAGAGGAAACTTACCTGACACTGAACAAACTGAGACCAGACAGGGACTGGTTTTTGGTAGGCAGAGATTATGGAAGGAGTTTGCAGAATTAAAATGGTAAGTGACATAAATGATAGATCTGTAATGGGAACAGTGAGAGTGCTGAGGGTTATGGAGTCACTAGGAGGGCAGAGTGGCTCTTGCCCCAGACTGGGACTTTTATGGAAGACAAGGAGGGATGTGCAAGCAGAGCTGCAAGGTTCAGAAATACTGAAGCCCATTGTGAGAAGGAGAAGGGGTCTTGGGGAGCACCCATCTTCTCTTTTGTTGGCTGCAGTATGGGACCACGCTAATCTTGTGTGTGTACAGGATATCTGCTATTTATGCATATTGAATAAAGTAGGAGAGATCCACATAAAATGGCCTTGTTGATAAAACACATATAAACTCTCATTTCTGCCTCTTTTGTTGTGAATTAGGCTCACTCAGAGATCAGCATTGTGCTTTGCACTTGTCCCAGAACAGTTGTTCCATTATCTAAATATTTGTCATTCTTGCTCTAACACCTTTTTGGATTCACAGCTGAAGGAAGTAGCCAGAGCAGCTTCTAATGGGAACACTGGCCTGATTTCAGCTTACTGAGGAGAGGGGGTCTGAATTTGGTGGCATTTTGAGTCCCAAACATCCAGGGTTTGTGTTCCCTCCCATGCACGTTTAGGGATGTGTCTATGTTCTTCTTCAGTCATTGCTTCTTCTTTATCAGCTCTCTATTCCAAATTTGTTTTTTGAGGGGATT